TAAAGGGAAAGAAGGGTCTAAAACATACAATACTATGCCAAATCAAGCCTTAATTGTAAACTTTATCTATGGAATAAAATAGCCAAATTTAAGCATTTTCTGTTAACAGAATATAGAAGGAAAATCTCTCACAACCTAGGAATATAGTATAAAAAAAAAACAAATAATTATATATAGTTATGTCAAATGGCAATGAATGGAAATTTGAAGAATAATCTGTGTGATTTTTCTGCTTTCTTTTATAAATAATAAACATGAAAACTAGTCTGTGAATTTAACAAAACATTGAAACTAAAGGGCTCTTTTACATTTTCACTGTCATTTACTTATAATTATTTATAACTGTGAATCAGATATCAGAAAACCACACTTATGTGAATTTTTCTACATAAATATATGTTGATGTAAAACTTATATTCAAATGGACTGAGACAGTCTGTAAAACACTTCTTTCCTGAAACAAACTTGTTTTTCCAACACAAATAAATGTTTAAATTCAAACTAATGTAACAACTTCAAAATCAACAATTTACTTGATGTAGTGCCAAAAAATAATTAAATGTTGCTTCAACAAAAGTTTTCGGACATCTTTACAAAAAGACTTTCTATGACCTCTCTGCATTGTCTCAATTAAAACAGCACATCTTGAGAATAATCATGCAACTTTATAATACACACAAACTCGATTACAGTCATTTCATAAAGCTGACTAATGAAATCCAGTTGACATCAAAACTCGAAACAAATTAACAAATGACTGAAGCAACATCTGATCATAAAATAAAACAAAAGACAAACAACAACACCAGTTTGATTTATCCATCCTATTTTCCCTATTTTTAAACCCTGTACAATGGCATTAATTTAACAGTAATCTTTTCAATTTCATGGTATAATGATAACCCTTTTCAAAATTCACTATATAAATACAATTCCATCCATTTCATGAACATTCAGACATATAATAAATCTACACCAGTTATTTTCATTTCAAAACATTACTCTCAATAAACAATTCAAAGTTCTGTTGTCTGTAACATCCTTGATTTTATTTTATTTCATTATGCACAAACACTACACTGCCTTTCACTATTTACAAGTTGTCTATGGGTGTGGATGACATCATGTACCGATTGGATGACATCACACATGACATCATTGGATGATATCATGACATCACAACTGATGTCACCTCTGACATCACTTATGACAATATTGTGAAGCATTACTATGATTGGCTGTCTATATTTATATGAAAAAAATGTATAGGCACTCATTGGTGGCTATTTTTAGTCACTGTTCGAAAGCACATGAAAGCTTAAATTATTGCATCTGAATCACCAAAAGGTTTGCTCGTCGAAAAAAGAATTTTTTTAACAATGATTGTCCAGAAAAAAAAAATATTAAAACAGAAAAAGACAACAACAATGGTTTTTTTTCGTAAAAATTTTTGAAAAATGAGGGAGAAAAAAAATTTGCCTCAAAAAAATTTTTAATTTTAATTCCATCCACTCAAAGGGGAAATTTTCATAAAATGTGCTAGGGAAAAATTAAATTTTTTTTAGAATTTAAAATTAACAATGAAGCCCATGGAAAAAAAGTGAAGAATCTAAACGAGAACATGCCCGGGGGCCCAATTTTTTTTCCTTTTAGTTAAAAAGAAATCTATAAAAGTGACGGGGCCAGTAAGGAAAAGGCAAATATTTAATTAATTATGTTTAGTCGTTCACAAGATAATAGAATGTGCAATATATCTTAAATACCAGCCTTTGCAGCTTAAGCAGTATTACATTTTTAACACTTTGTTTATTCTTAGTTGGGTTTTATGTCACAACAACACAGTAAAGGTCATATTGCGACTTTCCAACTTAACTGTTGGAGGAAGACCTCAGGTGCCCTTAGTGCATTATATCAGGCAGGAACAGGCAAGTGAGTAGAACCACTGATGTTCTGCTAGCCAGATAGCTTCCTAATGGTATAGAATCCATAGTCACTGTCGGGATTCAAACCAACAGCAGTGAGGGTCAAGATGTTTGTAGTCAACGACCTTAACCACTCAGCCACTGACGTCCGTTTTAACTCTTATAATGTAAAATGAGACAGAATATTTGCACACAATACTTACATATTTAAACCTTTCATATGCCATTTACTTCTTCTATTTGTCTCATACATTCTATCTTCTCTACTGACAAATCTGGATTCATGTTTGTCACTTGCTCGATGGCTGCCCGCAACAACTGTCAAAATATACAGGATTACATTTACAACTATTTTCAAAAACTTTAACAAGTAATCACAATCAGGGATTTCATTATGACCCAATTGCAAGGTAAAATCAAAAACAATTATTTCTTTTACTGTACTGGTTATTAATCACAAAAAACAGACAAGCTACTGATTTATTCAAAATTGTAAAAAAAAAACCCAAAGGAACACCTAAAACAGCTTTATTGTAAATAAGTATGTTCTCAAGAACATGTTTTACTTAGGCAGTTTTTTAATGCAGCACCAACACAGTATTGGTCATTTATGGCATCTTTCCAGCTTAACTGGTGGAGGAAGACCTAAGGTGCCATTCGGTGCATTATTTCATGAACAAATGGGCATCTGAATAGAACCATTGACATTCCTTAAGCTAGCTAGATAGCTTCCTCACATGAAATAATACAAAGTCGCTGTCAGGCTTTGAACTTAAAGAGCGGTGAGGAGCAAGTGGTTTGAAGTAAACGGCTTTAAACTTTTGGTCAAGAAAGCCCCTCGAGTCTAAATAATTATATATGTTTAACTATACCGATGGCTTATATGACATTCATTAGCAATGCCATGGGTACAAGTTCTTAGGCATGTGCCTGAAGTTCTGGTTTTTCCTTCTTTCTATATAAAACTGATTGAAATAACGTAAATTAAGAATTTTCAGGTTTTCTGATATTTCTAACTTGCACCCATGCGATGCTAGCATAAACAAGATTAAAGCTATTGAAATTTAGAAATTCAGGTAATTGACTTACAGCATCATGGTCCAAATCATCATCGCCATCACTGGTGACAGTAATCTTTCTCTCAACACGTGTTTCTACAACTCCATCCCTCTCTGTTTTATACTGTAAATAGTTAAATGTTACACAATCATTTACCTGGGATATATAAACCAATATGTTCACACATGTTATCTTTTATAATGCAAAATAAATAAGCATTCTTATACATCACTAAAGTTAAGCTAACAGCAATGCTGAGAAAAAAAGTTATCATAAAACATTAAATCTGAAATATATTATTTTGTAATACAATACTTTTCTTCTATTGGAAAACAAATTACAAAATTTAATCTTATAAATTTAATAACAATTTTGTGGTTATCATTCATTTTATTCATTCTAGCACCTCATCTTAAAATTTCCAAGCAAATCACTCACTGTTACATTATTATCCTTCTTTTCTTTTTTAAGAGTATAATTTATATAATTATTTATTTCCATGTTACAAGCAGCTCTAGAACAGTTGCTAGTCAACTTTAGTATCATATCAAACTTTCTTAACAAAAAGTCTACATCTTAAAATTCTAACTTGCCATTCAATATCAATATCTTTAACAAAGCATTAAGAAAGAAACCAGACCTGACTTGGTCAAAATAACAAATAATATAATAACTGCATTCAAACAAGAAGACTTTTTATACAGGCAAGATCAGGGCATTTTATAGGCAAGTAAAAACATACAAAGCATGTGCTATTAATTTGCAATGAAACGTTACTATCATTTGACAGAGGTAAATATATTGATACAGACTTTCAAAGCAAAAGTTGATAGGGATAACCATTTTTTTAAAGAAAATACATATTCAGCAAGCACATCCTTAGACAGAATTGTATTAAGATTGAAGCTTAAATGATGTTAAGCCTTAGAATGAAATTGTTTTTTCCCTCTTGAATAATTGTTTGGATGAAGCAAATACAAAAACTTGTACTTTGACTGCTTCATGCGAAAGGGTTGTTACTCCATCTTTATGTCATATGAGTAACTACCCTTTTGCATTAAGCCCTCGACTTGCATGTTTAAATTACCACTCTACCATTTAAAGAAAGTATATCAATATCACATTAACAAAAGCAAAGAAAAAATACCCTCAGAAAAGAACATTGTATAATATTCAAAACAAAAGCAAAATTGCAGAACAAATAATCAAAATATAATTCTACCTAACTGTAAAATTAACGCTAAAAACAAAATCATAGAGGTTTTTTATGCTGCTACTTGGTATGTTAGTTTTCACTGGGTGCATACATTGACACACAAAAAAAAGACATCTACTTATTTGTGGTAAATGAAAAGGGTTATTTTAATCATTTTTTTGTTTTTCATTCTAGAAAAATAAGCAAAATGTGCATTATAAGACAGAACACATGCGAAATGTTGGTTATACTGTTCCACTGTGGGACAACACTAAATCTAGCGTTTGAAATAACATGCACAACAAAAAAGTGACATTTCCAGCGCCATGCTAACTTTCACAACAATATCCCTCTAAACGCAATCAAATTAACTCCAATGTTTAACTGCCATTCTCAGCTTTCAGTTTGCAACAATTACAAAACAATTTTGCTAATTGAAATGTATACAACTGTTTTAAAACTTCTTAATAACTCACAATATAACAATACACAATCTTTGACACACACACGCATTTGAGCTAATCCATTCAAAATGAATGCCACCTTACACTTTAAAAGAATATTATAACTGGTCACTCAATACTATAATATTGCTCATAGTGAACTACAGAAAATTTTTTGGGCAGCTTGAATTTTAAGATATATCAAGCAAACAAATATTCTGAATTTTAATATTAAAATTTGATCATCTCAAAGGCAACGTCCAAAATGGTAACTAAATTGAAAACGGGAAAATCTAATCCGATTTATACCAACATTATCAATATTGCTATCAAATGTAAGCTAACAAACTGTCTACTTAATATCAAAACCATTCTCTCAAAAAGAACGTTACTACATTTGTATTTCTGCTCATACTCGATTTTGATTGGCTTAGAGGGAGGTTACTGTTGCAGTCTTAACAAGCCACACCCCTTACTGTAGTGGTATCGATGGTCTGTGATTTAGTGGTCACTGAATGAGCGCTGATTAATATACTATCTTCTGTTTCATATGGTATGCCATCTTTTTCGTATGTTACCTTATGCGTCTTTGTTTCAACAATAGGGATATTTGACGTGGATCGAGGTACATCATTCACGTCTGGGCTGTACTTGTAAGATTCCGTCCTCACAGTTACAGGCTGGGAATAAATTAGTGACGCTTTTTCTGATATGTGTTTAAAAAAAACTTTCTTTTTTTTTCTCATCAAATTCAATTTGGTAAAAATGATGCTTTTATAATATATATATATATGTATACTAGTATGATTTCTTTTACTTCCCCTATTCCATACCTAACGCTGGTTAATATTTCATAAATTATGTGGTAAATATTGTTACATTACCAACATTAGTTCACCATTACCTTCATCAATTATATGTTTACAGTGCTTTTTTCCACCCTTTTGGAACAGGTCTGGACCAAAATAGAAAATTTTTCTAGCTTTAAAATATGGTAAAATGTGGTGGGGGTGGGGAAGAAAAAGAATTTGAAGAATTTTGAAAAATTAATGGAAACATTTTGCGAATGATGGAAAATGCTAGAAGGTCTTTTAACCAGACATGTCCAAAAATTGTTAAAAAAAACACTGCTTTTATTAACAAAAATACCAACAGCCAGTGAAAACTAACATATCTCAAAACACATTAGTCAATAAAAATTCATCATTTAAAGGAACAATAACAAAAAAAAATTTGAATTATGCCCTATCAGTTTATCAAAGTTATTAAACCTATGATCTTAATTCAGCATATTATTCTTTAGGGTTACTCTTTCAAGTCATCAAGCTAAATTTCTCTTCTTTTCTTATTTAACAAATTCATCTTAAGATATATGTACATTAAGAAAGAAGTCGAAGTTCATCTGGAGCCCAGACTACTTTTTTATTATGCCACTTTTCACATTATTTGGAACTACTTTTACATGGGGTGAACAGTTTGCGTCATATTTAAATAACCAAGTTACTGACTGAAGAAAATCAGAAATATTACACAGATGGTACTAAATCTTATAAAATTAATGTTGTTTCATAGATCAATATGCCAAGTGCAACTTTTTGTGAACACAGGTACTCAAGTAATATTTTACCAAAAACATAGACATTTTTTTCTTATTCTGTCTGTCAACCACCACTAAAATAAAACTTGATGAAAAAGTTTTGACCATTTTGTATATTTCAGACTTTGATCTTCTTTTATTTTCAAATGTGCATCTAGTATAATTCATCTCAGGTATGCGGTTCTATGGAAGTACCTAGCCAGCTACCGACTGAAATAACCACATCAGGGAAAAGTTAAATCCTAACTAACCATGTAAAGGTGAAGTTTGTTGTTCAAATAACTTAAAAACCAAACACAGTACAATACAGTACAAAAAAATACAAGAAACAATATCAAAAATCCCTACCACTCCAGTATGACTATTTAAAAGACTATCTTCTGTATCGTAGGCACCGGATCCACGTGGTTTCTTAGCGACGGGAGGTGGTACCTTCTTTCTGCCGAGAGAATCAACGTCCGTTTCACCGGTTGGTTCAAAGAAAGGCATTGGCTCTTCTCTTGATTTGTTCTTCTTTGTCTAGAAGAAATTTATTTGGAGAAAATTAAATTTTCTTAAATAATGAATCCATGTACAAAATGCCAGTTAAATATATGGCACAAAGTCAAAAGAATGCATTTAAATTTGAAAGCATTATGCTTTCAATGCAGCGTCTCCTAATTCAAAGAATATCTTTATACAATATGTCAAGTTTTATATACCTTAACACTTCCGGAAACCGAAAATTTGTTGTCTACTTAAGTTATGAATCTGCTGTAAATTCAGAGGAAATATTTTCGTAATCTTACCGTTGTTGAAGGCTCTACAGGAATGAATTCAAGCTTCCTATCAATTGACTTGAAGCCACCGATTCTCAAGCCATAGTCAACATCTCCATAATTGCGGCCAGCCTAAAATTTATCATTTTTATCATTTAAATATCATGGAATTAAAACAAATATATATTGTATGAATATATATGCATAGCTGTAATTATATTTTAAATGTTAGCAGTATTACAGGTTATTGCTTCTTTTGCTTTTTCTCCATTAGTGAAGTTATAAAGATTTAGTATTCCATATGGAAATAGTTTGTTTACATGTAGTTATATTCATGAAAAATTATTTCACATATAAGGCACATTATGTATCAGAAATGAATAAATTTTCCCCAAATCACTAATATTTTTACTAATTGCCAAAATGCAACAGAAGCAAGAGATGATTCAGGTAATTAGACCAATGAGTAACTTTTTGGAAACTGTAACAGGACATCAAAATATAAAATGATTTTGAGGAATGAAAATAAACATATTTCTTGGGCATAATGGGCCCTTAAGCAGTAATTTCACCAAATGATAAGCACCCATTATGCTCTAAATCTATTTTTAAGATAATATAATACAATACGTATCTTTGCATTGTATTGTAGTTATTTCTGAGGCTGAATGTGCTTTTAATCATTATCATAATCAATTTGTACAAGTTTACTGTCTTGAGAGAGATTTATTTATAGAAAATACTAAAATTAAAAGTTACATACCAGATCATTGACATATTTGTTAAACCACTTAGATCTGTATAGATCTGTGTCGACGGCATGGTAGCGTGGGTCAGTGTCAATGAGATGCTTGGATTGATGAAACTCGGAATATGCTGTGATGTCAGGCGTATCTTGTAACAACTGAACGTAATGTGCTCTTTTCTGGAAAATAAAAGAAAGATTGATTCTCACTGAAGATGTAAGAATGCAGTTTATTTTTATATACAACACTTGAAAAAGGCAACATGAATTAATCTCTTTCAATTCCTCCATTCATTTACAATGTAGGTCATTAAAGAAAAACTACTGGTCTTTATTTAACATATTGTGTGGAAATATCACTAACATTATGGGCTGCGTAAGAGATTATTTTCTTCATGTGTCAATGCTGTCCATTGCCTATTAACAGTCTATTGCAAATATTCACTTTCAACTTTCTCCATTACTTTTCAACTTTCATCTTAAATTGTGATTATGAACTGTTGTCTAACTCAGCAGTTTTTTGCTTATAAATAAAATTGACACAACAAAACAGAACTTTATCATATGGTAATGAAAATTAAGTCTATGTAACTGAAAATCCGTCAACTTCATATAAACAGATTGACTATAAACTGATACTAAGATTATCAAAACAATAAACACCAATTTCTAAAATTGTCACTGAAGCGAATCAAATATTCAAAGCCACGTATGTTACCAGCGTATGTAATATCAACGAAACACTTACCAAATCTTGAATGTATTCGTTAAAGTATTCTTCTCTCTGAGCTTCGGTATCAACGTTCTGGAATCGTTGGTCATGTGATAGTTCTTCCTTCACATCATCATACCTTGTGTAACTTGTAATGTCGGGGGTCTCCTGTAGAAGCTCTCTAAACTCTTCCTTTTTCTGTATAAACAAGAACAAAATTAATATTAATCCTTTGGTAAATTGTTAAATGGACAAAGTCACATTGTTATTTAATTTTGTAACAATCCATTATGATTTTAAAGGGTTTCAACATAAATGTTTTTAATCAATCCTTACCATGTTTCATAACTTTTAATCATTTTGATTCTCTTTCAATATTGACAAAAAGCATTCATTATTGTTTTTGTTTTGTCAATTTCTTGTGTTCTTTCTTTGATAGATTAAAGAATGATATTCTTCTTACAACCATTAAATCTTCTTGTTTATCAAAACAAACTTTCAGATTGTTTTATCATAAATCTTACTAAATACACTTGCAAGTGTGGGGCAATAAGAAAGGAAAACCCTGACATGACATATGTTGTAGTAAAAGCATGTTCAAATTACTAAACTTCCAGAGTGAAAAATAAGGGTTACAACTACTCACCAATTTCTGTATATATTCATCGAACCAGTCCTCCCTTTGAGAATCTGTAGGTACAGCACGGTAGCGGGGATCGTACTCTAGATCGGCCTTCACACCTTCCCAGCGGGACTGACTGTGAACTGACGGAGTCTCCTTCAATAACTGCATATACTCTGATTTATCTGAATAAAAAAAAGTTCATAAGCCCCGTGTGAAAATATATTAAAACCCACATTATCGATCAAATACTAAATACCTTAAAAAAGGCCCCCTTTCTGAACATTTTTTTATCAAATTTTCCCGGGGGTTGTAGGAAAAAATCGGGAAATTTTTAACCGTATTGTCGAAATTATTTTTTTAATGATTAAAAGGCCCTTTGGATTGAAAAAAGGAAGCAAAAAAATTTGGGGATAAAAAAAAAGCTAGTATTTTTTTAAAAAAATTAAAAAACCTAAACAGCAAAATTCTTCTTGAATGAATAAACGCCAAAAATACGCATGTGTGTATAAAATAAATTCTGTATATAATTTCAAACTCAGACTAAATCTGCAACTTGTAATGCAAGTGTGCTCTAAAAAATTAAGATTTCTTTTTTATTTTGATGTAGCCAAAGTCTAAGTGAGGTTTTAAAGCATATATTTGGAGGGCTGGAGTAGGCACTGGTATAGTACAAGTTCAAGCAATTGGTTTTACAGATGGTCAAGGAAAAATGGGAAATTTGAATTCTAGCCACTTCTAGGAAAGTCCAGTAACTCTGATATGTTTGTGTTTCATACCTTAGGAAACCTGTTTTGCAGTTTGTATGCCTCAAAGTCAATACAACCCTTCAAACAAATTGCAAAGTTTATTACATAACAGTTTTCCCCTTGTAAAAATCCATAGAAAATGTTTTTTTCTGCATTTTTTTCTTCTTACTTTTCTACACTTCATGTGAATTACTTCAAGCAAACACTATCACATATTGTCACCTTATTGCAGTAACAAGGTAAGTCCTTCTAAATTTAATAGGAGTTAACCAGTTATTGCTCTAAGGTATTCTGATCTAATCATCTTTTCAGTAGGTCAAGCTTTATCAAAATTAGTTTAGTACATTGTATTAAAAACTTTATATTTGACTACTTTTGATGTTGGCAAAACAGATGAAAAAATTTTCTTTTTTAAAAAATTAACCAAACTTTGCTCTTCAATTTACATATAAATTTTCCCTAACATCATACGTAAATAATTTCACAATTCTTTCCAATAAAGCTTTATCAGGGGAGAAAGCATAACAGAAGTTGGACAGTTTATACTGATACACAGGGCGCTAGTCACACATAATCAAATTCATTTTACATAACCGGTCTATATAGGGTATATCTAAAATTATCCGTTTATTATAAGTATATAGCCATAATAAAGACGTTAAGAAAGTTTTGTTTGCAAGCACCTGTTGTAACTGTACGCAAAGCAGGAAAATACACTTTGCAGATACAACAAATATGGAGAAACTAGCATAACACATGGCATCATACTGTGAAATCATTAATATTTTTATATCAATAACCAACAATAATTATTGTATTCTATAATTATATATAAGTCTTAATAAATGCACCTTTCTGTGAAAATTCAGAGGTTTAGAAAATGTTCTTTTAACCCTCACCACACTAAATATCCTAAATGGACTTGTCTATCTTTCAATCTGGACAAAACTATTTAACATTTTAAGAAAAATTTCAATATATGTACTGACTAAAATAGGTAACACTTTTTCACTGTGTAGACAATGATCAGACAGAAATGATGTGCCAGCTGATCTTGGTCTGCACTAGTTGCCATGGTAATTATGTTGCCATCATCAGGCTTAGTGTGAAACATGTGTTCTTTCTGCAGTAAGCTAAAAATTCAAATGATTTCACAGTTTGCATTTTAAATTATTCATCAGGGAGTTTCTGCACACCTAGTTTAAAATTCAATTTTTTTATAAAGACATTCCAAAAAATATTTTCTTCAGCAATTTCAAACAGGATTTCACAATCTTTTAAGCCCAACATTCTTTTACAAAAAAAGTAAAACCCCCAAAATAATTCAAGAAAAAAAAACATATTAATCAAAAAAGTGTATAAAAAACACTCACCAAAGGGCCCTTTTGTATTCATTTTAAACCACTGTTCCCTCTTCCTCACTTTGAAGCCCGGGGAAGGGTCATTTTCAAATTTTTGCCTCGCCCCGGGGCCCCTTATGCTGTCAATGCGGGTTTTCCCCTTTAAAAACGCATTAGTCTGATTTAAAGGGAAAAAAACAAGAACCATAGTGCTCAATACATTAGCTGAAAATAACTCTTATAAGGGAGATTATCCTTATCTCCATGTTACGTCCAAACTTTATAACAAGACATTAAGTTAAATTATAGAAGATTTCAATTAATTGTAAGTTTTTCAGTATTATCTTTAGAAAAGATATAACAGAGAGTGAGGGTTAATTGCAAAACTGTTATAAAATTCATAACATTTAGAATTGAGATACATCCATTTTGCAAAATAATTGAAACCCTTGATGGATCATAGTGGTATAAAGTTATATAATTATCATTCCGTGTACATAGGAAAGTGAATACAATTAAATGGACCTTTAACTTTAGGTGAAGTAAAAAATTCAAACAATACATTCTCCTTTGCCTGGTGGCCTTAAAAATTTTAACAGCACTAAGCCCTTCACCTGGCGAAGTTAAAAATTCAAACAGTTAACCTACCATGTCATCAACGTATTCTTTAAACCAGGCTTGTCTTGCATCTTTATCGACAGCTTTGTAGCGTGGATCGTGATTTATTTTGTGTTCTACGTCCTCTAACCTTGATGTACTAGTAATGTCTGGGGTTTCCCGTAGTAACTGCATGAAGTCTTCTTTTAACTGCAAAATAATAATTCAAAATGCATTATCTACACTCCAGACATAAATCGTAGCCCAGGCTACCTCAAGTTACTGTTCGTAAAATGCATGTGCAAAGGGAATACTGAATAACACAAAATATAACAATAACAACACACTGGTAACAAAAAATTTGATTCTCACTCAAAGACTATTAAAACAATTGCATTGACAAAATTATATTTATATCAAATTTTATGTGCTAAACTCCTGAAAATGATCCTTTATGCATAAAACACATGAACATACTGTGCGTAAAATATCCTAAGTCATTAAATCATGAAATCCTTATAAAAAATTATGCATCAAATTAATTTTAAAGGCAGTCTTCAAACAATCATGTCATTCACAGAAATTATATACTTATAATACAAATTTCAAAATTCTAAATGTACTTTCAATTTTCATCCCTTTTATTGAAAAATTTAAAATGTGTGCTATAACTTTAATATCACATCATTTTAGTTTGTTGTTTTTTTATGTATGTCATGTATATATATATACAGTGCTTGATCATACAAGTATAATAATCATACAATTGTAATATAAAGTGCTGTATTAAATCATGCTTTGTAATATAATACAATACAATACAATATCTAGAAAAATATATATATAATATGGCAACATGGTTATTTTATTATCCATTTTTACATATAAATAATAATAAAAACAGTCACTGCTTCATAAATTTATCATAAATTACTACTAACTCGGTTCAATGACCAAATTAATTAAAACTTTCAACTAGTTAATATAACAACCTAAAACATAAAGTTTTATGTCTATTAACAATGTATTTTCATGAAGCAGTGACAGTTAAAACTGAACATTACAATTTACTTTAGGTTGAAAGTTAAATTCCAACATTTCACATTTCCTATTTTAACACCATAACTGTAAAAGGGAGACTCCAACAACAAATTAATGAAATTGCAGACACCCTTTTGATTTAGCCCGTTCATAAGAGATCATGTCAGTGCAAAAGCCGCTTTTAAGCAGTTATTATTTTCACCTTCAAAATGTTAGTCCAACTTGCACATTAATTCTTTCTTACCAGTCTCTACATGTAGATGTGTCAGTTTAACTCAATTCAAGTATTTTAATACTGAAACCCCCTTAGTCAGCAATGGACTTTTCCAAAATAAAAACAAAACAAGTCCTCTACACAATGGAAACATAATACTGGTTAAAACAATGATAAAATTCTGACTTTTTCTATTTTTAAGGCCTATCATGGGAAAGGAATTCCAATGTAAAATATATATCAAGATTTCTGAAATGCAATTCGGTGCTTCAAACTTTCAAGCATACTGTAAATATTAAGTACATATATATTTAATAAAACCAACATTCATAATCATAACCTGAAATAAAAAGAAAACTAATTGCAGTTAGTTTCTACAGTTAAAATTACTATGGAAGAACTAATAGGTAAAGTTTGTGTTAGCATAAAATATCTCCATTAAAAAAAAAAAATAAAATAACAAAAATGTTCAAAACGAAATAACTCTAATTTTGCATAAAATGAAGAAGTTTAAAGCTATCACTGTAAATAACCTGGTAGCGAACTGGTCTCTCTTTAAAACACCATATAATAGTGACATAATTCTTTTAAAATATTTCAAGGTAAATTACAACACACATCAGGGTTGAGAATTTGTTTAGAATTTCCCTTCCTATCAAAAATCCTGCTACTTAAACGCCCAAAACCCAAACAGTCTTTTTATACATAATAATCATCATGAAATTAAAATTATTATAAATCATAAATGTAAATGTATATATTACACAACACTTATTTGCTTTTATTTCATGCTTACACAAATACCACTAACAACAGAAACATAATGCATTTCATTCCTGTAAAAATCAAGATGGATAAACAAAATCCAAGGTTTTAAATGGAGTTTTTTTGGGGGCATCAGGCTATTTTTTTTCACTGGATATTTTTTATCCAGCTTAGTATCAGGGACACTGCTCTACAATACAACAGAAAAATAACAAACTATTAGGACAGAAAAAGAACAATTTCATTTCATTCCAAGGGGGAGCATTCCGTAAGAAACCTGTTCATCTGTGGCCAATTCTGCAACTGCATCATCTCCCTTTGTTACTACTGTGACAGTAGAGTGATCTGCCCCTGGATCAGGCTGGCTCTTTAAATCTACTACAGTTTTAGGCTGTATAATATCTGTTTCATATTCCTGAGTTTCGGGGTCTAGATCTTCAGTATTTACTTCCTCGACTTCTATACGAGGTACCTCCAAGATGTTATCAACTGGTTTCTCTTCCTCTACCTCCTATTGCAAAGCGAAATTTAAGCAGAAAAATGTTTAAATTATTTATTGTGTAATCTTTATAATGCATTCTATTACTTAACTTGATCTTAAATGAAATAAGTTTTATTCTTTTATTCATCTTCTTATACGCAACCACATGAATATTAGGCAGACGCTGAGTCATTGAATGTTCTTTGAGCTGTACCTGTGGTTACACAACAGACTTTTTTTTTTAAGTACCACACTTTCTAACAATATTATTCTACACATATTATTCATACTTTTTTTTCTGTGACAGCTTGCAGCCAAATTATATGAATCTCTCTAAATTCTGCTTCTTAAAACTGTTTATTGATAGACCAGTTTTTTTTGTCATAAAATTATGTGGAAACATGATCCATGATCTCTTATTTAATCAGCAATTTCCAAAATATCACTAATGACCTAATTTCAAACTCTTCATTTTATGCAGACTTATTACCACAGTTCTCATTCTCATCACAAGTCCTATAAAATTTTATTACCACAGTTCTATTGCTCAACACAGGTCCTATAAAATTGTTTGAATATTCAGAATTGTATAAAGTAATTACTCCATTCCTAAACCAACATGAACAAATTTTGATTATGCATCAAATTGTATTCACAAGTTTAATAAAGTATTAAATTTTAATTCAAAATAAATATCATTTTTGTTTGTTAGATAATTCATATAATAATTTCTAAATTCACGCTCTCATTTCTTTTTATCTTATCATTAAAAGTGTGTTCAGTTATGTAAGTACAATATGATTATCAATAAGTATCTCTCACATTAATTTTTACAGAATCAGGATAAATCTATCATCTTATCAACACTATGTAAATCCATTCTAAATGCATGACTGTATGATTAAAAAGACAAATTGTATAGCCTTCAAATTTCTTCTCAAAGATTATATAATTATTTTAACATGCCAAGTAATTTTTCACATATTACACATAATTATTACATGACAAATGACTCACTTTGTTACTGTCACATAATTTTAACATTTCTGACAAAAGACTTGACAAATAACAATTCTGTTGTTATTACTATGCAATTCTGACAAGACATGACAAAATACAAATTTACTATGCTCTTCTGACCACAGACTTGACAAATAACATTTTTTTTATTATAACTGTGTAATTCTGACAAAAGACTTGACAAAGTACAATTTTGTTATTACTGTTCAATTCTGACAAAATACTTGACAAATTGCAAGCTTGGTGTCATTCTTTTGCAATTCTGACATAAGACACAATAGGTCCACATTATCTATTATTGTTAGCTTAAAATAATTCTGACAAGATGTTTGGCAATATACTTAAAATGAGCCGTGTCATGACAAAACCAACAAAATGGGTTTGTGACCAGCATGGATCCAGACCAGCCTGCGCATCCGCGCAGTCTGATCAGGATCCATGCTGTTCGCTTACAGACCCTATAACAAGTAAAGAAACTGATAGCGAACAGCATGGATCCTGATCAGACTGCGCGGATGCGCAGGCTGGTCTAGATCCATGCTGGTCGCAAACCCATTATGTTGGTTTTGTCATGACGCGGCTCAAATGTTATTTACATTCTTTTCTCACAAACAACCTGATTGCTAATCTTTTTGATTTTCTATCTATGTATACCTAGAAACACAGCATTCAGAATATAATTTTATGACCCTAAAGACTTGATCTAAATATTATAGTGGTCTGATAATCTAAAAATTTAGTCAATGATAACTATTTCGAAGTTCCATGCTCTAAATGTCATACAAATGATTAACATACAACACATTAATGAAACACTTAATTTCATTGGACAACCTATTGCATGTCAAATGTAAAAATGTTTCTGTATGGACACTATGAATCATAAATAATGACAAGACATTGAATTTGGCTGAATTCCATTGGCCAAACCTCTTGTAGCTCAAAATTAATGTTACACTGATTATGACTGGATACTGACTAATGAAACATAGATTTTGATTGGACGATCTGACAGCATGCCTGTAAGTAACAAACAAGATGATTGAGCTATTATTCATGCCCTAAAAAAAACAAACAAGATGATTGGTTTAATTCAAACTCGTGCCAGGATGCAACAGACAACCTGATTGGCTGCAGCTCTTTTCTCCATCATTTCCTGCATACCTGGAAGAGCCCAGGTTGGGACAGGTTTTAGTCCAACTAATTAGACTTGTCAAAGAGACACCGAGATAATTTTGGACGGGCGCTGTCTTTTTCCAAGTCCAACCACGAACTGCATTTTTATGCACGGACGGTTCCCAATTAGAAGTTGTTGGGAGCGAAAACTAGAAAAGTTTCAAAGAAACGGTCTACATTACCTGAAAGAGAATCGTTTTTTATGCAAGGTTCCAAATTATCATACTTCAAAGTCGAACAGAAGTCTAAATATTCCACTTTAATTTTTTTAATCATTGAAAATTATTGAAAGCGGCCATATTGGAAAACGGTGTCATGGTAAAATTGTAAACACTGGTAAAATCCATGGTGTAACACAGGTATCGGCGGCAATCGATTGTATTTGCCAAGCTTTATTATACAATTTGTTTATGTTATTTATATGAATTATTGCAGGAATAACTCTTTTATTCACACACAAATATTTCAGCATTAAAAAGAGAATGTGTAAAGGAAATTATGATAACCTTACTAAGAAATTAAATAGTTTATGATGTCCGATGTCAGATCATACTGCATTTAAGTCCGTTTAAATTGTCAAATTAGATATTATTAAGTTGGATTTTTTAACATCTGTGATCATTAAGTGAAATTTCTGAACTACCTTTTTATTTTATAACCCTGCCATGATTTCCACATACGAAAATACAATGTAATTGTAGGTACATCTTAATGAATTATAATTATACTATACATGATGAAGCAAAGAAGAATTTCAATTTATATTACACTCCATATCAATTTCTAGTTTATTATCTTTAAAAGAAATTGAGGACTGTTGTATGGGAGAAGTTTCAAAACAACCAAAAATAACTTTAAAATCTGAAAAAAAAATCTTAAAATTTCAAACTATAAAATGGAATTTTAGACAGTCCTCAGTAAAATATAATTGTCGCACAGATTTGACGGGGTTTATGATAAAAACACAGCAAGCGGAAATTAAGTGACCGTTATTTAGATGTTGAATAGCATAACCATGTAAGACAGATGGGAGAAATGTTGGAACGACTGTCGCAAAAGGCACCAAAACCTCTGATACCCATTAAAAATTCCATGTTATCTAGTTCCCGTTGAACGGCACCTTGAATGTGTCACATTGAAAGTTCCATGATTACCGCCATATTATGTACACATCTGTGGATGTTGATGAAAAATTTCAACATTATTATGTTTAAGTGATCAATTCTGTTTAAACCGGCGAAAGGGAGCACTGGAACCTACCAGAGCCGTCTTTGGCACTCCTGTGTATTTATGTTTCGATTTTGCAGTTTCAGGCGTTTTTGGTGGGTTTTTTTGGAGGGTGGATACATGAATGTGGATAAGTTTTTTCTGTTTCTTTACATTTCTTTGCTTATTTGCCGAACCTTGTATTGATAATCATTATCTGTTTGTTACGGTTCGGTATACATGTATACAATATGATAAACAAGATGAACAAGGAAAGGCGGCGTTCAATGAACGCAAACCCCACACGACCCAGGAACATGAACCATTGGCATAGAGCCCAGGAGGATCCTAAATTAAAACGGGAAAGGGCGCAAGGGAGAGCACGGTCAGGCTTATCACTAAAATGTAACTGAGAAGGAAATCAAAGAAAATAAATAAATGAATGATTAATAGGAGCACAAAGTTAACGAGCACAGGGGAAGGGGATAGGAAATTCGGGGAGGGGCGAAATAAAGAAATAAAACTAGGGGCAAAGGGGAGATACTTACCAAAGACGAAAAAACAACAAGGGACACAAACAAAAGTGTCACCAAAACAGTATGAAACAGGACCACTAAGTTAACGGGCACAGGAGAAGGGGATAGGAAATTCGGAGGAGGGGGCGAAATAAAGAAATAAAACTAGGGGCAAAGGGAAGAAACTTACCATAGACGAGAAAACAACAAGGGACACAAACAAAAGTGTCACCAAAACAGTATGAAACAACAAGACATACACCTTATACATTTATAAGTCTCTTAATCTGTTCATTTGAAAATTCTGATCTTCTCAATGACTTTTTTTTAATATCCTCTACTTAAAATTTATTTCAATTAAAATATGTGACCCTTCCTTTATAGTTACACAGCATATGGCTGGATCACAATAAAGTTCCTTTTTAGTAAATTAATAAAGTATGTCAAGAAGACATTTAACTTTATCAATAGGTTTAATATGGTATTATATATCGGCAATCGGTGAAAAAGAGCTCTTGAAATATTATTTGTACAAATACTGAATAATTTGAAGTGTATTTCAAATAGTTTCCTTCAATATTTCTTTTACGTTCTTAATTGTCATATAAATATGCATGTATAAATGAAGTCAGTATTTTATCCGAGAGTGACATTTGGCAGTCATTAGCAGTAAACAAGAAGGCAAACCACCAATTGATAAATGTTGAGTATATGGATTAAAATATTTAAAAAATATTAAACGACAGTACTTGTACAGAGCCTATTTGCGACCATTGCATTTTAGGTTAAATACAATGATACTTTTCAATAGTATTTGATAATGCACATATTTATTAAAAAATTATGAATAGATTTATTTCCCCCGATATTTCGTTTAATTTAATCTTCATGCGTAACCGACACTTACCTGCTAGACACACTGGTAGCTACTACCAGCTTTCACGGAATCGATTTTTTACGATGACGTCATAACATGTCCGCCGAAGATAGAGTAGACAGTACAAATTTGAAATAAATCGCATGTATGCGTTAAGACAGGTACAATCTACTATTTTTTCTAGGAGAAGTTTGTACTAAAATTTATATTCTATTGATCTTTAGAGGTAATTGAAGTTACTTTCAGGTTTAAGCAGTAAAAATCAGTCCAAACTATCGATAGTGTTACCGGTAGATTTTCCGTTCGTAAAAATGACAGTTAAAATTAGGCGTAACGGTTTGACAGTAAGAAAAAAAAATCTGTAAAATGGGTCAAACCGTTCACGCCAAATTAATTAGGCTAGGACAGGTTTGGGCTTCTGAAATAAAATATACACCTTGGAAATCTCCATCATATTCTAGTCTACAGTCAAAAGTCTAACTATGCCAACTTTAACTTTCTTTCCCATCACAATAACATTTGTTTACTATAATAAATACTACTGCTATTTAATTCCTAAAAAAAAAAACTATGATGGAAGACGTCAAATTGTTTTTGGAATTTTCATTATTCTAGGATCCATTTTCATTCTTTAATACAGCACACTATCAAATTGAATATGATCAGTAAAATAAACACATATATTTAGGGTTACTAGTTTAAATTTTGTATAATATTTCATTAGATATTAATATCATATTAAATAATTAATATATAACATTTCATAATTACTAGATACAGAATAAATACATTGTTGTTCTAAAATATCTCCTAAAAATTAGATGATATAGAAGTTTATATCCCATTTCCAAGGTATATGCATCTTATATTTAGGTTTTGGTTAAATTAATAAAGTTCAATAAAACTGCATGAAACCTTTGTCAAAATAGTATTAAATTCTAAAGAAGGCAAAAACAGCAGTTTTTTTTTAAAGCCATGCGGGTCTTTAATGTAAAGATAATTCTTTTATCATACAATTATGGAATGTTTAGGATTTAATATAGAAATCAGTGTATCAGTTGCATGGGTCTGCTTTAAACTGTTTAATTGCCCTGTTGAAATATTTATGCTGGTCAATATAACAATTATACTGGTTAACAAATTATAAGTTATGTATATTATCATACACCAAAAGCAGTGTTCTCAACCAATCCAATGGTCAGATATGGCATCAACTATTTGCTTTATCTTCATATCTATGATAATTGTAACTTAATGACAATATCAAGAACTATTGAAAAAGCTGCAAAAAAATGTTTAGATTTAAAAGACATCTAAGCAAGTTTATCCCCTAATATTTTCTACTCATAATTTTGTTCAAATCACAATTGCTCATTATTATGTTCAAAATCACAATTGCTCATGATATTGTTCAAAATCAGACCAAATAATGAAATATAAAAATAACAAAATAGAATAAACACTCTTTTTAAAAGTTCATTTTACCCTGAATTTCAAACAGTTTTTAAAATTAATAAATAAAATATATCACATTATGAAAATGATCAAATTGAGCATTTTTTTCTTAGAACAATGCCTAAACTCTAACCTAAGCTTTTACTAATTTCCCAAAACCGTACAAGGCACCTAAAAGATAAAATACTTTTTTAAGCTTATAGCCATGCAGTAATGAAAAAATACAATGCCAGAATTTAGAACCCAGAACCTGCCAAAATCTTAAGTGATTTACTTTTGCAACCAGTATAGAGAGAGCCAGGCCAGCCTGCAATTCCAATTGCAGTCTGACCAGACTCTTAACGTTTTATATTTTCACAATAAAATCCTTTTGAACTTTGAAAGAACTGTTAATTCTGTGACAAATTCAATTAAAGTAGGGCAAAGTCATTATATAAAATTCAGCAGGATAAGGGTTCAGCAGTTTATACAAATTGCAGTAAAATTCTGGCACTGCAAAATAACTAAGACAAATTATGTAAGTTATATTTATCACTTATTGATGGTACCACAATTTCAGTGTTCTGCACAGAAACTGTTAAAGTTCGAGCGAAAAAGGGCAAGAAAGAGAAAGTCTGCAAGAAAAATTTTGATCATAAAAAAAACAAGGAGAAGGCATTAGCTTTTTCTACTTTGCAAAAGTTTTCAAGATGGAAAATATCTTACTCTTCACAAATATCTAGCTTAAGGGTTGAAGAAGTTTGTTTATTACACTCTAGGTTTAGAGAAAAGGTCACAAGTTCACAAAATAAGCGGAACAACAATATTTTGCAGGTAATGCTAGAAAAAAAGCATTGGACCAAAATATTACTACCCTTTTTTACAATGACCAATTGTACAGACCAAAAGAGTTACCATGAAGACAATTTTAGTCGGTCCGGTTTTAAGTGACATACCCACAGGATCAAGTTGCAAGTAGTTCAAGGTCACCAACACTTTAACCTCTCAGTCACATGGGCAATTTATGAGTTCAAGGTCACCAACACTTTAACCTCTCAGTCACATGAGCCATTTATGATTTATCAACACTTTTTTTTAATTTTCACAGAACCCCCCCCCCCCCCCCCCCCCCCCCCAAACTCTTACTATTTCTGAAATATGTCACTGGTAACTGAAGAGGTTTTCTTTAAACTCTTTTTTTTCCCCAACTGTTGAATGTCAGCTTGTATGAGAACACTGGGTTAATATTAAGAAAAATAAATAACTTTAAATGCAATAAATCATTACATTGTGCATTAATACAGCATATCCCACACTGCAAGAATTCTATTTTCCAAAATAAAATTTTATTTTCATTCATTAATTTTTAGTATTTTTGTTAAAATTTCATGTTATTAATCACGTTTTAGCTCTTATAAACTGAAGTGTTAAAAAATATTAATAATAATCATTTAATTAAGCATTAAACAAATTCTTGCAGTAAGTATAGGCACCCTTACTCCAGAGTGTACTTTAATGTAGTTTTATATAATATATACAAATTTATAAACCCCTTTTCAATGCAAATATAAGCTTCTAAAAGAATATATATTTAACAGTTAAATATAACCCAACCAACAAAAATATGTATTTTTTTTTTCTAAACAACTAAAAGAATTCGCTTTTATTAAAAATATGGCTTAAACAAACCCAAAAAAACAACTGTTGTAACTTAAATGCGTTTAACAACTGTTTTTCTCAAAAAAATAAGCCTTTGCTATATAAATGCAATGGGGTGTGCAACCCTGTAAAACTGACAATGTTGACCAGTTTACAGTAAGTACTTGAAGCAAGCATAAAAAATGGGGTTGAAACTGGTTTCTAGACCTGTTCCTTCGCCTGTTTCTCCGCGTCGTGTTTAGATTTGCCGGCCTTATCTTTGTCTGATTTGCTGCCGCGCTGAGAGCGTCGGAGAAGGCCAAAAAGGCCGCCGCCACTTTTCTCAGCCTTCTCCTTCTCTTTCTAAACAAATTAGTGCAATGAAAAAGTTAGTTTTCTTTGCTTCCAATCTCTTATTATATATATACAACATACATAAACAATATTATTATCATAATTATTATCACACAATAAATTAAACCAAACATTTTTACCTTTTTCACTTTCATAAACATTTTAGCAAATATTTCATTATTTAGTTTTACTTTTAACTATGAACTTAGTATATTTACAGATACTTTAAACCGAATATCTTTATTTTTAAGGACCATCTTTCATGAGGCCAAAATATCATTTTTCAATAATATAGTATAAAACAACATGCTTTCATCTTAATGACTAACCATCTGCGATCAGTCACTGCAGCTGGGGTAAAAAAAACAAAACCCAAACATATTTGCCATTGGGCCTTACAAAACCACATTACAAAGTATTATGGTATACATTGTCCGTACACCAAATTGTCTAGACTTTTCATTTATTTAGACACACAATCTTAACCGATAAAAAAATCTACTATTTCTGATCAGTGTTCTTTTCTTAAACTACAAGAAATAATTACATTGGCAAAAATTAATTCGAAAGTTAAAACAAAATCAAAACCTACAAACAAAAGTGGTTTACTTATTCTCATTCCAACTTAATCTAGCTCTAAACATGCTGTCTAACATAGTTTCTCCCTAATTCAAAACCTGGAACCAGTAAACTACTAAGGGACAGTACTCTTGACCCATTTAAATATTATACAATAGTATTACAAGAGTTGCTGGTACTTACTTGTTCTAAAACGGCAGGATCTGGTAGCACATCATCTATGGAGGTTTCTTGAGCTTTGCCCTAAAAAGATATCAATGTCATTTTTACAAAATTATATAAATTTCTTAACAAAATGGTTGTATATAGGTTCTATAAATACATAATAGTATCATATTGTTTGTTCATACAATTTGACACAAGATTTCATAATATATAATCTTCAGAAAAATTGATGGGTTTTTTTTTGGTTGTTTTTTTTTTTTAATCAAGATTTCCTGAAATCCAAGAGATACAGACTTCTCGATTTAATGATTTTTGTTACAGGAGTTACAGCAAAAAGACATAGACAATATAAAAGGAAGAAGCTCAGGACAAAATGACACTGGAATATATATGTCAAGTTTCAAATTAACTTGTACTGTTGTAGAGATCTTATAATGACCAAAAGATGCTTTCTTTAATCTCTACCTTTATCAACAACAGTAACTAAGTTCATTTTTATTTTGAAACAACTTTTCTTATACTGCCAGTTTTATCAAAGTCTATCTCATCAATGAATGAACAAAATCAAGTGTATAACAGCTTAACAGTAAATATTGTACTGCAAACTAAAAACAATGGACTGAATTAAGCGAATAAATCTTTAAAAAAATTTTTTATTTAGTACCTTCTTTTTATCTTTTTCTAATTTTTCTAAACGTTTCCTCTCCTTTTCTTCTTCTTTTCTCCTTCTTTCTTCTTCTTTCTTTCTCTTTTTCTCCTCCTCTTTGTCCTTCTTACTTTTCTTTCCTCCATCGGACAAAGCCGAGGTATCAGCACTGTAACCTGGTGGTCCCTCCGTTCCAGGCTAAATATAGATTTCATAATTATTGAGTTAAACAATAGATGGATTTTTTTATTTGAGCCGCACCATGACAAAACCAACATAATGCATTTGCGACCAGCATGGATCCAGACCAGCCTGCGCATTCGCGCAGTCTAATCAGAATCCATGCTGTTCACTTACAAACCCTATTACAAGTAGAGAAACTGATAGCCAACAGCATTGATTCTGATCAGAATGCGCGGATGCACAGGCTGGTCTGGATCCATGCTGGTCACAAACACACAATATTGGTTTTGTCATGGTGTGGCTCATTTATTTTTCATTGGGTTTCTAATTAAACTTATACTGTTACCATCAACTTGAATGGTCAAGTTTGACCAGACAGCTTATCCCTAGTCCATACAATATTTCAGGCACATGTCGACATATGGGTAGGACTGCTGATTTTCAATTAATAAAAGCTTTAATACATTGCTTGCAGAGTCTGCAAGCAATGTATTAAAGCTTATATATCATTTCTGTTTGCAATACAGACAGTAATGATATATAATATCAGCATTCAAAGATCAGTTTGAAACAAGCATTTGATAGTATTGCGGGCAATACAGTAGTCCCCTACCGGTCCCTCAAAAAGTTCTTTAATTGTCATACACTCCTGTGTATTGCCATTTATAATGAATTTGAGGATGAAGTCTGTATTTGAAAATATCAACCACAAAACATAATAAATAAGTTTGTCTATATCACAGTAATGTGTTAAGTTTCCATGCTTAGTAAGGAAATTATGTTTATACAACCTTGTCATATTATTACGATGTGGGATTTTAAAGTAAATCCTATAAGGAATGAAGAAGTTGGAGTGAAAATACCAGTTTCTCGAAAAAAATCTAAGTTCAAGGGGGACATAATTCTGGAAATAGTCTTGCTAGAGTATTTAACCTTCTTAAAAATGTCGAGTGATAATAAGAAACATATATATGAAGTTTGAAGTAGATACATTAGGAAATAAAGAAGTTATTTAAAAAAGACAACATTTTTTCCCCTAAAAAATCTAAGTTCAAGGGAGGTAATACTGATATTTTTTGTGCTAGAGTTATAAACCTTGTCACATATGATGTGGTTGATGACCAGAAACTTATATTTAAAGTTTGAAGTAAACACCTTAAGAAATAAAGAACATATAGTGAAAAAGCTGAAAAATTTAAATCAGAAATCTTGAAATTCAGGCTATTTGTTGCCATAGCAACCAGAATTTTCAACATAGGAAGAAAAGAAAAAGATGTGCATAATCTCCAGACTGCCATCTACCCACATTTCAAGTTTCATAAAAATATTTTCAGTACTTTTTGAGTTATCACTGGATCCAGTTTATGTGTTAAATTTGCCATAATTTCAGCCTATTTGTTGCCATAGCAACCAGAATTTTCAACATAGGAAGAAAAAAAAAAGACGTGCATAATCTCCATACTGCCATCTATCCATATATCAAGTTTCATAAAAATATTTTCAGTACTTTTTGCGTTATCGCGGGATCCAGTTTTGTGGACGGACGGACTGACGGACTGACAGACTGACAGACAGACAGACAGACGGACAGACGGACAGACAGACAGACGGACAGACGGACGGAGGGTAAACCTAAAGTCCCCTCCGGTTAAACCGGTAGGGGACTAATAAAATCATTGCCTTTTTTTCCTGGGAACAAGATAAGTTTGACATCATGGAAAATAAATTGCATAATTATAAACTGAGGATAAAAAAATCAAATTAAATGTAAAAGTCACTGTTACCTTCACCCTGCAATATCTGAGCAATGAATTTGCAATGCTTTATATTCTGAATAGGACATAATTGTTTACATAAGGGGTAATCAGAAAGATAAAATAAAGCAGGAATTAAGTCTTGGTTTTGGTTAGTCTTTAAGACAAACCCGACCATCAGCATTCAAAATAAGCTATACATAGTAACTCACCTCATCACCGGGGTGATGATCTAATCTGTCCGAAGCATCCTCACCATTTGGTCGTTTCTGTACCTGGCTATACATTGGATCATCAGCGTTTTGATCTCTTTCTAATGTGGCATTCGGATCACCAAATTTGCTGTCGTGTAAGTCGTTTACATCATATGGCTTCATTTTCATTTCACCTGAAGATAATTTATGTTTTTATTTAATTTTTGGATTGTTTTACCTGAATTCATAAAAAACTAGAACTGCCACTACCTTGGCGTGAATACCCCCGCATACCACTTTGTCAGAATCAACAGTGGCCATTTAGAGCTCAAGGACAACCTCCCTGCCATATTTGAGGTTACTAAGCCAGTGCATTGCTAAGTTATGTATTCTACAAGCTTCAAATGTGAAAATGTCAAAATCAATACATTGCGGACAGGACATTCTTTAGCAATTGAGAAAAAAAGCTTTTTTTTGTCAAGGTCCCTGTGACCTTGACCTTTGACCCAGTGACCTCAAAGTCAATAGGGGTCACCTTATAGTCATAATCAACATCCATGCCAAATATGAAGACTGTGGGTCAAAGGAATCTAAAGTTATTGGGCAGACAAACTTTTTGAAGTCAAAGTCCATATGACCTTGACCTTTGATCCAGTGACCTCAAAATCACAAGGGGTCATCTACTTATCATAATCAACATCCATGCCAAATATGAAGACTGTGGGTCAAAGGAATCTAAAGTTATTGGGCAGACAAACTTTTTGAAGTCAAAGTCCCTGTGACCTTGACCTTTGACCTGGTGACCTCAAAATCAATAGGGGTCATCTACTAATCATGACTAACCTCCATGCCAAACATAAGACTGTGGGTCAAAGGAATCTTAAGTTATAGGGCGGACAAGCTTTTTGAAGTCAAGGCCCCTGTGACCTTGACCTTTGACCTGGTGACCTCAAAATCAATAGGGGTCATCTACTAATCATGACTAACCTCCATGCCAAATATGACGACTGTAGGTCAAAGGAATCTTAAGTTATTGGGCGGACAAGCTTTTTGAAGTCAAGGCCCCTGTGACCTTGACCTTTAACCTGGTGACCTCAAAATCAATAGGGGTCATCTACTAATCATGACTAACCTCCATGCCAAATATGAAGACTGTAGGTCAAAGGAATGTTAAGTTATTGGGCGGACAAGCTTTTTGAAGTCAAGGCCCCTGTGACCTTGACCTTTGACCTAGTGACCTCAAAATCATTAGGGGTCATCTACTAATCATGACTAACCTCCATGCCAAATATGAAGACTAAGGGTCAAAGATATCTTAAGTTATTGGGCGGACAAGAAAAAACCGACGGACGGCCGGACAGCCGGACGGACAAGCTGATTCCAGTATACCCCCCTTACAACTTTGTTGTGCAGGGTTATAAAAACTTTATTTATATAAACATTATATTTCCAAAAGCTGACCTGAAGCTTCCTTACTTAAAAGATAACAGATTCTTACTTACAGTGGTTAAGAAGCAAAACAGATAGGGACCTCGTAAACTGGTCCCGAATTTTTATGTAGTTATAGATTCTATCTATTGTTCAGATTCAACACAGGATTACAATTTCAATTCCATTACCATCCCAACATTTCATTTCTTCAAGGCAGAAAAAACAAAAACATTTCTATCCAACTGTACTATTGAAGCATAAATTTTTCACTGTCAGAAAGACTATCTTAACAAGTTATATCACTCACTATCATCATGTCCCTTATGTTTATCGTGCATTGACCTTCGTTCAGCAGTGCGTGCAATGTGTGGCTCCTCACGATCCGTCATTTCAGCTGCCTTCCGTGCCTGTACTGCAGTTCTACCAGAATATCGGAAACGAGTGTTGAACCGAGGGAAAAGTGTGTCATTACTAGGTGCATCAGCCGTCTTCAATCTAAAAGCAAAGAAATGTTACTTTTTACCACGCAAAAATAAAATTCAAAGTATAGCTTAAACTGTCAATACAATTGAAATACAATACACTGCCCCTTCAACTATTGTACCATATTACACAACCACATTTAAGGAACAGAGTTAATTTTTTAATTTTGAACTTTTAATAACTATTTATATGAAATTCAACGTAAAACACTAAAATTTTGCAACCTGTAGGTTTTGATTGATCAATTGTTTGCTCCAATTTATTGGCAAAGACAAGCATTGGTGGTAGTATTTGGAAGGTGTTCACTATACATCTGTACAGCAGAAAAGCGAGGGACATTTGACAGACACCTTAAAAGAAGCAATCTTAAGACACCATTAGGTGTAACTATACAAAAGAAATCATGAGGATTATTAAAGATACCATTATCCACTTGTAGTTAGTAATATAGACTGACCTGAAGAAAGCATGGTGTTCCACACACGTCTTCCACAACCTTTTGGCCAGTTTGTGACTGTCACATCGAAAGCTGATAGTTCTCTCATGAGGCTCAAACTTGATAAAAGACATAAGATATTACAGTTGTATATATGATAAAAACAACACCTCATTACTTAACTATTAAGATTATTGAAAAAAAAAATCTTTTATTAAAATCAGTTACTTCTATGGGGTGAAATGAATCAGTAAAAGTTTCAATATCTGATGCAATGAGAATTACCTCTCTCTAAGGACAAATTTTTAAATATATATCTTTAACTTATATATTTTTATAGCCAACTTCAAAGTTTATGGTCAAACTACTTGTGTAACACTCCAGGACCGGTTTGAGATAAACTGCATCTTTCTTATTTAGGACAACAAATCAATTTACCTCTCCTGGACAGATTTTGATATAAACTGTATGTCTTTAATAGGACAATATCAATATTTAAGAACAACAAATCAATTTACCTCTCCAGGACGGATTTTGATATAAAAGGTGTCTCTTTTATAGGAGAGTTTCAATATTTTAGGCCACACAAATCGACTGATTCTCAATCTGTTATCGTACACAAGAATTCCAGTAGCGCAGATTCCTAGAGCCAACTTCTTGTTTTCTGAATCCTAAAAAAAGGTTGAAATATTTCCTATATAAACATACTGGATAGATATTGAATTTCAAGTATTCTACTTAAAAAGTTAATTTTTATTCTGCTGGTGGCAACATATTCTACCTATGTGATCATGAGTGATTCATGGGGTCTACAAAAAGCTTAGTACATTGTATGAACTGCTGATGGGCACATTTAAATTACGCTCCTGTCAATGATTGAAACTGTGCACATTTTATACAACCCATAGAATTACAGCTTGGTTTCTGGTTTTCCTCCTTTAATGTAAACATATATGTTTATTAGTGCTGTCTTTAACTTACTTGCATCCAATTAATTAACAAGACTTTTTAGTTCTTTCTAAATAATAGCATTTACAAATCAATTTAAGCTGTGCAGTAGATCTATAAAGTCATGACTGAAATACAGAACATGCAGGACAAGTAAAATTATTTTTTTATCCCTGTATTATGTGAAAAAATTTCATTATGTACACTCTGTTAAACATCCAAGTGTTTGTTACACGAAGAAGTTTGTGACATATAAAAAGAGCCATACCTTGACTTCATGCATATCCACACCATACATCGCCAATTTTTTAGCATTCTCCAAGAAATGGGCTTCTGCTACTGTAGGTGTCTGGCCTCTGAAGACAAAACAGATAAATAAATGTAACCAAAAATTAAGTCCAATTTTTACTGTGTAAATTGTGTTATTGCTTATAATGCTTATGATATGCCAGAAGAAAAAAAAATCTCAGGAAAATGAATTTTTGGTTTACTGTACACCCATAAATGTTCCTAAATCATTTTTCAACTCATGCTATAATTTTTTTTGATATTTGCATAAAATTTCTAATACTCATTGTTTCAAACAGCCATTCCACATTATGTGCAACAATTCAAATTCCAAATTTATTAGAAGTGAAATGACTTTGTCACAGGTCTTGTAACTTACAATAATTATAATCAATGAGTTTATAAGCTCATAGTGTGGTGGTGGTGTTGGTAGTTTTCACTCCGGATCACAGCAGTAAGCCACATTAAATTCACCAGAGCATAGTTCAACCACCGCGTCGTTCCAGGGCAGGCTGTCAAGCAGTTTACCAGTACTAGTTACCTTTACTTTCGCAAGGAACTGAAACTTCTGTACATGCCAGACCAGAGGTACAGTGCGAATGTCTGTAGAAAGGATTTCATGATCAATCACAACGAAAGTGACCTGCGCCTTCCAAAAATCGAACCCGGGTTGCCTGATTCACAGTCCAACGCTCTACCTATTGAGCTAACCGGACGGCTATAAGCTCATAGCACCCTTCACAATCGAATATAACCTAAACGTAATCATAAACAATCATTTCATTTACCTGTGATATTTGTGAAGTTCCGTAATCTTCTCTAAAAGTTCTTGATTTTGCCCAGGTGCAAAATCAAAGTCGTGTAGATATTGAACCCCATCTCCGTACTCTTTCTGTTCCCAGTCGCCCAATTCTGCTTGTACCGTGTACGATCCAAGGAGAGCATATGTCGCAAATGAGCATGGAAGCCTGAAAGTTCAGATTTAAAGTTCAGTTTAGTTACTGAAGGAAATCATTTTCGATAGGTTTTCTTGACAAAGAAAAGTAACTGTAACACCCTAAATGCATTATTTAATATAAGTTGTAGCAGTAGCACTACTAACTCGCATATTAGAAAGACAATATCTATGCTGTCACTGTGTAAGCCTACTTTTCAATTTTCAGCTTTACTTGTAGAAGAATCTCAAATGCCTCTTCAGATCAACAATGCATTAATCTAAGGCATAACCATGTAACTGAGTAGAACCTTCTAATATTGAACTTCTGTATTAACTAGCTGAGTTGCTGCCAAACACAAATCAAATACAAAAATGCTGGCAGGATTTTGACCCACGGCAGTGATTATAATCACCATGCTGTTTAAAAAATGGCAGACCTTTCATAACCTGGCTGAGGATCATATACACAAGTCTTTTATCAAAAATATTATTCTACACCAGGACAGACATGTTTTGCCCTCATTTTATAAAATGTTTATTAATATTTACATTATCTTGAGTACATTGTTTTATCAATACTCCAAACAACCGAAGTCCGTCCAATATGTAGAATTAATTACAGAAATCTATATTAGCCAAATAGTATAAAACATCACGCTTATTTGGTACAGACAACATGCCAATTTTCTCAAGCATCAATATTACTTCCATGTACAACAGAGAAACAGCTGTCTCTATTTATGCATGCCTTAACACTATTACAAGGCAAGGATCAATACAGTACTATACAACCTAAATGATTTAAAGACCAGTCTACAACAAGTTTTGCAATGATACTCAAAATACCAAAAACATAACAAAACATACACAACATAGGCCAGAGGAGAATTACTTGAACATGGCCTTTATAGATAAGTGGTCTTTATTTGGAGGTAATAATTATAATTAAATCAAATCAATAAAAGTTTGTCTAAGAGTGGTCTTTATGCACAGGGTGATCGTTTTTTGGAGGTGGTCTTTAATAAAAGTTTGACTGTAAAAAAATAATACAGGGAGTTGAACTCGGCACTTCTGAGACCTACTTGATTATGTTATCCTGATCTTAAAGTCTTAACCTACTAAATTCCTAAAATTCACTAATATGTAAAGCTTTCAGTTTTTAAAACAGCCCATCATCAATTTAGGGGTTATCAAAATTAAAATTTAAAAGTATGTCAGTACTGGTCAGATTGCATGGATATTCAGGCTACTGGTGGCAAAGACTAGTCACTTTTGGTTTCAGCAGGGTTAGGGTAAAAACTACTGTGGCATTTATTAATAGTATTGTGACAGGTCAGTGGCATTTTATTCTTTAATGTAATTGGAAATGTTGATTTCCAATTCCATTGCAATTCAAAACCTGAAGTATAATTTTGGAAATCAAAACCAAACCAAATTCTATGCTCTTATCACTTAACCTCTTTTTACCAACAGTGACAAGAATGTCAGACAGGTCAATGCCACAACTATAGAACTGCACATCCAATCTTACAAGACTGTTGACTGTTTATAATAATAGAAGCAATTGACCAAGTGGTCAAATTGTCAGATCAGAAAGCTAAAGAAAGCTGCAGGCATGTATTCAAACTTTGTCAGAGGCAAAACCAATGGTTTCCTTTAATGAGGAACTATACACTTACTGTTCAGTACTGGTTGCATGGATTCAAGAGAGGATTTCAAGAAAGTGTCAGTTAGCGTATACCTTCATACAGAATTAGTGTAAAATAGATTCTGTATAAACTTGAAGACAACCGATTGCTCTAAGTGATGGTAAATCTGAACTTGAAACCCTAAGAAATACAGTAAATATAATACATAACAGGAACAAACAAGCTACTGAGAAGTTACTGATCATTTACCTGCCATTGAAGAGATCTACTCTAACTTGTAAACTAAGCTGGTATCTCGTAACATCTTCTTTCAGTGCCATCGGGTCCGGAGGATAAAACTTCACTTGAAACTCGAAAACCCATGTTCCTCCTGAAAATACAGAAAAGGTGAAAACTTAAATTATTTCATAAAATACAAAAAAATAGTCATCACTATTGATTTTCATATGCACTTTTTTTTTTTAAAAAAGCCAGTTTCAAGAAAAAGGCAAAAGCTATTTACAATTAATTAATGTATTTATAGATTAAGTCAACCTGTATGATGATAGTATTAGCACAATAAAAATAGTGACATTTAACCCAAGACTCCACTGATTAATCTCAGGTCTATTCTTACAGAATATGACAAACCAAGTCGAGAAATATACATCTAAATAACTGTTTTGGACAAGCTAAATCCAACAACAATAATATTATTACTACACATTTCTAAACCACTAAGGCCCAAACTAAAGTAGTTGCAAATTTTTACACTAAAATAAGCATAATTTGTTAATAGTAGGCTGCTGACAACTTTATACATTTATGTATTCAGAAAAGTCTTGCGTCTTGCACGAAAGCAAGGTATAAATCATAATTATAAGATCAATGGGCTAAAAACTCTAGATCTAACACCTGTGCCGTTACTGTAAATTGGGTCATTTTTTAATGTCTAATTTGTATAACCCATGTAATTATATATTCAACAATCCAAATTTTTTTCCATACAATTTTTGATATATTTTCTCCCACCATATGAATTGAACAGAAGCAATTTTAGCAATAATACGAGTATAATGACACATTTATCATATCAATATCAAAATAAAAATTATATTTGTCACAAACTTCCAAAAAATGTACATAACAGTAACATTACAAAGTTTAAAACATTCTTGATTTTCTGTTATAAATAGTTACAATAATATTTCACAGTATTGTTACAATACTGTGTTACCTATTCCCACAAAAAAATAATACAACTACCATAAATCATACAAATGACTCAAGACTTCGTGCAACAGTCTTGTTAACTTACAATAAAAAATGAAGGCCATTTTTTTACTTATTATCAGATCATGACATTCTATTTTTATTCTAAAAAGTTCATTTAGTACTGAAATATTGTTTTATTTAACCCTTTAATAGCAATTTGTTATATGTATCTAATGAACATGTCTAATGATTTGTATTTGGATCATTTAACTTTAAGAACCTGCATCTTCCAGCCATCCCTAAAGAATTAAGAGAATAATCAATATGTTGGTTTTGGGACCTGAGCAAATTATAAATCTGGTGAAATCTCAAGCCTGGGAGGGCCAGGAACTGATACCACTTACGTGATTTAATCCTCATGAGTCAGATGAAAACTCAGTTTAAACCATGGCTCGTTTCCCCTGGCCAGGGGCTGCTTCAACTTGAGGGGCCTGGGGCTGCTTAATGGAGGGGCCGGTTTGCAAATATATGATGTCAGTGATGTATGGAATGACTTCGATAATATAATTTTCAACTGATATTTCAGAACGTTAACACAGCTTGTGACCTAAACTGTTGAGAATTAAAGTTGATCTGGTATGCAATTGTCTGACATATCAAACTTTTATAAAAACTTGAGAAAAGCATACCTTTAATATATTATAATAAGTTCAATATTAATGAAAATGACATTTCAACATCCCTGTGCTTGCAAATCAAATTGACTTCAGGCTAAGATTTCTAGCCTATGAAATGAATAAATATCAATGTGAAAATAGGTCAACACTGATTATCTTTTTACAACTGATATTTTCCCATACTTTTGCCATTTAAGTACTTGATATTAAAGGTATCATTCACCTTTAAGGAGACAGTATACAGTTTCATTTGATATTTTGACCCAGTTTGATGTCATGTATTTACTTTACATTATATCTTTCCAGCATACTGCGAGGGATATCAAGTAGACCCAGCACGGACATTATTAAATCATGTGTTAAATCTTTAGCTATGAAAGGTATTTTTCGACTCTTGTTTGTAACACATGGTGTGTATATAATATTTGCAGATTGTCAACCTTACAACATATACACCAATTTTAATTGTGATTCAGTAATCCAAGGTCGCTGGTCCGATCCTCGGGCCAGACAAAATTCCTCCTTCACAACTGATCTTTGACATTGAGTCTCATCCCTGATTAACAAAGAAATCATGTGGGATTAGCACATGTAATCGGTCACTAATGCAGAGAAATTGCCAATAGGTGGTTAATTATCCAAGAATTTTTTAACCACTAAGGTGGATCGAAAACATTTATAGATGTTAAAATTGGCCTCAAAACCAGAAAAACAAAAACAATCCTAATTCAGATCACAAAACAAATTGTAACTCCATTATACAAATACAAGATCTATTAATTTTTCTGCTGGCCGGTGCCATTATTGGAACAATGTGTCATATCACACCCATAGTTCAAAGCAGGCCAACAACTGAACCATCCGAAGAACCCAAGGTGTCTCTTCCCTGTATGACTCAGAAATTGTAGCAATTTTGTGCATTCATTAAAATAAATGACATTAGCTGAGTGAAAGTGCGAAACATAAAAATTTAAATTTTAATGTATTTACAGGGGCACATTTTAAGACATAAAATAAGTTTATATTTTGATATATTACATTATAAATTCAACACTACACACAGCGCTTAAGCAATGTGACATATTTTGTCATCATAAACACTTCAAGCAAGTTATAAACAAATTCACTATGCTGAAGTTAAACAGAAAATTGTTTTAACATAACTTTTTCCCACACTTAAAGAATAATTCTAAAATGTATGAAATGCATTTTTTCAAGAAAAGGCATCGCCATTCTTATTCAATCTCTATACATATGTTCTAATTGTGTCTCTAACATAGTGTTATGTTACATAATGCCCTAATAAGAATCCCAAATAATTTGATTTCCCTCATCAGCAATTATTATGGTGTAAATGATATTTTCACTATGATATACTAAATTTATCTCTCTTTTTTTCAGTAGGAATCCAATGTTTCCCATCCTTTTCTGACATAATATACATAGAACTATTTGAATAGAAAAATGCTGTTGATTGTGAGCAATTAGTTATTGTATATAATATTGCATATTGCAAATTAAGTATGTTAATATTCAAATGTATGTAAAAACTTACATATTTAATTACTCAGGTCTACTGAGCATCATATATATATATATATATATATATATATATTATAAACTCTACAGCTATAACATGTTAAACATATGATATTATCACCCAAAACTTTACTCAATTCATCAATTCCCACCTACTCATATTTAAATACATTTCAGGGTCATTAAAATATAATTCATCATTTAAAATATGCACGCCTTTTTAACATTTTTCCCTTTTAAATCAGACAGATGTAATTTCAAGAAATCAAAATTAATGCCTTTCAAGTTTAAAGAAAATCTTATTTAATTTCAAATTTACATCTTCATTTTCAAAGGCAAAAAAGTAAAGTTCAACAGTCTTAAATGATGCAAAGAAAATAAATAGGCTTTTCTCACACAGACCAGCTTTGGCTGCACTTTAAAATACACTTCGCAGATTCACAATTTAATTTAAACAAGTAAGTGATGATGCATGATCAGTATATACAATGTATATATATATAATATTATATTGGAAAAGTGCCTTTGCATTGAAAGCTTTAAATTTAAAGTAATGTTTTTTCATACATGGGACATCCCAGACATTGTCATATTAAAATTTTCAGAAAGTCAAAGGTTTAGATACCTGAGTATTATAATGAACTTTACATTAAGGGTCATTTATAACTTAACAGTAAAACCTGTCCTGAAGGGCCTTCAGTGAAAAAACATGAGCTTCTATGATAATTAAGCTATCTATACCAGAGATATTTCACTGAATATAATCAAATCCAGACAAAATTGAACAGTCCATTCAATTAAGTTAAAGCTAAAGAATTTCAATATAACAATACAAAAACAGGAGCCTGAGGTCACACTGCAAGGGTCACTGCAGGCCTCACGTGGCTTTTAATTAAAGGCTTAATTTTTTTCTGCAGGTTAAAAATATTTTGCAGTCTTGATTAAGAGGAGAACAATAAATAGATTTCACAATTAATTTAAGGATGTTTTTTTTATACATGACTTGATTATGAAAACAGTTTAAATAAATAAACAACTGTCTGCATTTCTAATGAAACATATCCTGTAACTGTCATGCTTAGGTCAAAGTTCATCATGACATGTAATCAGAAGTTACAAGTACATGAAGTCCAACAACATTGTATATAATCACACCCATAAGAAATACCAGGATGTTCTGATACCTTTTTTTAACAAAAAAAAAAAATTCAATCCTGACAGTAACATAATTACCTCCCTTTAGCTAGAAGGGCAAGATAAGTGTCAAGTGTAATAATAATTGTTTAATGGAATAAACACTGCCAATGTAACTGTTATAAGAGGAACAAGGTTATCAGATTTGTACAAGGCCGATCACAATAGCCCAATTAGAACCTTGTGTTTCAATGCCCTTTCTATATATTGCATTATTATACTCTTTAATGCCCTTTATAGTTAACAGTAAAATTTTTACTATTGACTAAAGTGCTAAAGTGAATCCACTCTAATACTCCTGTCAGTGATTTGATCTACCTAAAATCATTTCACTTTTAATATATGATTCACCAAGGATGTCACATTTATAGTTTGAGCACCTTATTATTAAGGCTAAGTACTCTATTTACTAAACATACAAGTTTAAAGAGTCTGTTTTGAGACCACCATCTGTCCACTAAATTTGCTGATAAGATGACCAAACTTCACCACAGACATACCATAGCTATAACAGAATACCATAACTAACTTCATGTAACCATGTATAGTAATACTCAAGATAATCATTCTATAAACCCCACAAAATCTCTGTTTGCTTATTGAGTCATCCTGATAAAAAGGTTGGGCTCACATTGATTTTAAAAAAATCTCTAAACCCTTACCCTCTCAAATTTGTATAATGGACATGCCCTGCTTTGAATGTGGTATAGTCCATTATTAAGTTGAAGGGAATTCAGTAACAAAATCTTTAAGGCAAATGCACAGA